ACCCATCCAGCCCATCGCACGTATGCCGCAAAATATTCACAATTGGGTTGATTGCATTATTCAAATCCGCCACCCTCTCCTAATAATTAAGAACTCTACAGTCTGTACTGCCCTGCTTGCACCACCAAGCCCATCTGTGCATAAGCACGATACAAAAGCCGGCCTGCTAAGGGTGACTGCAGTTAGGCAATGAGGCGGGAGGAGGGCATCGAGGACAAGGGAGACTAGATTGACCGTTTTTGTCTTAACCATAATCGGCCGGTCATAGGCTGGTACGAGGCGCATGAGAACCGAAATCGGAATTTTTGATCATGAGGCCGAACGCTCTATCACTGACCCACGGCCCGTGCCCCTTAGGTTGTGTTCTTGAATGTTTCTTACGAGAGAATGACGTTTGCCGATTAGTTTATGGGTCACGAGACAACGAGACGAGTCTAACCTTTAAGGACTGTTGCAATCGGACTGGAACGCTTCTTTTTCATCTCCTAATCTGTCTAATGTAAATTTGTAGATCTCGGGCTCGGCTTCTAACAAGTAGCTTAACTCTAAAGGCTTTATTGATATAGGAATGCGATTTTTATTAGGCTTGCTCATGGTGGAAGAGAGCCCACCAATCACGTTACGAGACATAATTGTCGCATTGTGCATTGGGCCTCTGAAGCTAGCAGCCGCACAGCTGTTAGTAATATAGACAAAATAACTATCGCCAAAACAAAGCAGACTTGAACGCCATTTATTCGTTATTAGTCTTCATCGCCCAGCTATACTCAAGCCCAGGTTTTGCAATCCACGAGGTTCGAATCCGCAACCTGCTGTTTAGAAGTCAAATACCTTTATCATGGACTCACGGGCTCGGCCTGATGGTTGCCATATTAAATAATAAATTACCATTCCAGTCTTCCTGGTCTCCTTGTCGATAATGTTACCGTCCAGACCATGATTTTTATTATTCACAGTTCTGACGCAGGCAAATGTTCACCAAGCGGTTCTTGCTTCTTCTGCGTTCATAGGTGATTGTCCATCCTCAGTTCCTCTTCCAGTCTCGACTGTCGTCAGTGAGAGCAGTAGATTCAACTTTACCAGTTCTGGCAGTATTAACCATCTACACTACGATTCTGCGGAGCCGGCGCTATATCCATACAGCGGGGTGTATAGTCAACAGTACTCTCAGCATAGCGCACACCGGCAACAGCAGAACTTCGGTCTGCCGGAGCAGCACCAACACTGGCTCAACTACGGACTTCAGTACAGTCGCAGACTGCAGTCCTCCTCTTCCCCCTCCTCTTCCTCCGGCACTGCAGCTGCCGCAGCT